GGATGATTTTATTTATGAAGTATTTATGGGATGTTTTGATATATGTTATTGAATTTACTGAATTTTTAAATCAAGATAATTAACATATCCATAAACGTACATCCATTTTTTGTGGTGCAAACAATTAGAATCTACATTGCTCTCTTAGCAATTTTGAAATATACATTAAATTTATTATTAACTATAGTCATTATGCTGTGCAATAGATCTTGAAAAGTTATTCCTTCTGTCTGACCATTTGACCAACGTCTCTGCATTCTCTCCAACCTCCAACCTCTGACAACCACTATTCTACTCTCCATTTCTATGATTCTGACTTTTTTACATTCCATATATAAGTGAGATTATGTAGTATTTTTCTTTCTGGGCCTGGTTTTTTCACTTAGCATTTAATATTTTTATAGTTCAACACAAGGCAATTGCAAAAGTATCAAAATATATTTAATAAAAGTAATTGCTGAGATTCAATATTGACAATTGCTTAATTAACATTTCTTGGAATGAAGAGCATTTATCTTGAAAATATTCACAAGATATGACTAAATCCCTTGTACCAATACCCCCCACAAATAATTCATAAAGAAGGTATTCGGCCTATATTTAATTTAATATACATATAATTTTAGTATACCCATGAGAATTAACCCCTCTCTGAATATTAACTATTTGATTCTAAAAATCGACAGCAAAATATGATTAATAAGGAAGGAAAGGTACAACAGGAGTTCTAGATATGCAAAAATTACACAGGGCTATAATTGTATCAGTGATACTCTCCACCTTCACCTTTGGAGTGCTCCAATTTGTGTATTCTCATTCACGTTCTAGCACATTTCATCTACAGGAAACAAAAGCCCTCTAGCCTCATGATCTTTACAAAGATGTATACCCGCCCTCTTTTTGGAGGAAATTTATTCTTTCTGAAAATACCTTGACATTAAGACTTTCCTATTTGATAATAATAGAATAAAATTGACCAGTTATTTTATATAAATGTAAAATAAAATGACTACTTACAAAGTTCTGCTGTTGCTTTTCCTAATAA